AGTATCTGTAGATGATTTCTCCATAGGTGTGGGTTATAGAAAAAAATAATGTGCTGCCATAGCCAGTTACGACTTTTTGTATAAAAAGACAATCACATAAATTCTTAAGAATTTAAAAATGAATATTTTAAAGTATATATTTAATACACAGTACAAAACACACATTCTTCTGTGCATGCACCCATACACAGAGAAAAGAATTTGTATATAAAATTAAATGCAAGTTAACTTGATGTTACAGTGTAATTGAAGTATAAATTAAATATAATTACCTGTACAGAAATAATTTTATTTCTTTAAATCACACCTGATTTTTTTTAAATTGAATTGAATTTAGCCATTTGTTTTTGCCCTCAGGAAACCTGTAAGTATTTTTCACCCAGAGTACTTCCATGTTTAGAAAAATTGATTCTTGGTCTCTTTAAAAAACTGTGAAGCTTCTGACTTGCACATTAAGAACTAGTTTTTCCTTTATTCATTAGGATTAATGTGGTGATCTAACTTTGCTCTTTGCCAGTGGTCAGTTTTTTTACTGAGTCATCCAATGGTTTTTCCTGTAATTGAGAACAAAGGAAACTGATTTTCACGATGACTTTATTCTTTTACTCAGTAGTTGCTTTTATAACTCAGTGTCAAATGATCTTTGATCTGTAGAAAAAAACTTTACCATAGTTGCTGGTTTACAATCTGATGAGGGCTATTGAAATTTGTTTCCTAAGAAGGCCTGCCCTTTTATTTTATAATGAACATACTTTTCTGTGTATGTATATTTACACAAATATATACTGTCCCTATTTATGTACATAAGTGTGTATCCATATAAATATCCATGTGTATGAAGCCACTTTATTTGTTTTTTGAAGTGGTGAATGAACTTTGTTGTTTTGCTTAATATTGTAATTTAAAACTTCGGGGTTGGAAAACTTGCTCCCTTAAAGATGGTAACGACAGTCTGTCACCACTGCTCAGCCATCTCATTGTGGGGCAGTCAGTTTGTAAATGAGTACAGCTGTGTTCCAGTTGATGTGTGGATACTAAAATTTAAATATCATACAATTTTTGCATGTATTTTTTAGCGATTTAAGAAAAATTCATTTTTTCCCCCTAGGCCATACAAAAATAGACATAAATCCAGCTTTGGCTCAAAAGTGTAGCTTGGAGATAATTTCTTTAGATAATAGCTTTAATTTTTTTAATAAGGTACATAACACACTATTGGAGAAATGCTCCTTGTCTTTCACACTTGGTTCTGTGACAGCTTTAGCTCAGTCATCAGATTGCCTTGTAGTAACACAGTGACACTTTGCTCTAGTCCATCTTTGTTCCTTGTCTCAACAGGACAAATATATTTAGACTCATCCTTACTTGTTT